TCGTGCGCCTGTAATTCCAGCTACTCGGAAGGCTGAGGTGGAAGGATCGCCGGAGTCCAGTAGGTCGAGGCTGCAGTGGCCAGGAGTGGCCACTGCACTCCAGTCTGGGCGACAGAGTGAGACTCCAACTAAAAAAAAAAAAAAAAAGATATGGAAAGCAGGTAATGCCCCTTAGAAATACTTTAAGGGGCATCAAAAGGGAGTGAGGTAGAAAAACAGGAATTGGCCGGTCTCAGTGGCTCAACCTGTAATCCCAGCACTCAGGGAGGCCAAAGCAAGTGGATTGCCTGAGCCTGCGGATTCAAGACCAGCCGGGGCAACACGGTGAGACCTTGTCTCTACAATAAAATAAAAAATTAGCTGGGTGTGGTAGCGCGACTGTAGTTCTGGCTACTTGGAAGACTGAGGAAGGAGAACTGCAGAAGCATAGTGGGTCATGAGTATGCCACTGTACCCCATCCTGGGCCAGAGAGCGAGACTCCAACGCAAAGAAGGATAAAAAAAAAAAAAAAGCAGGAATTAAGCAGGAAAGCTGACCTCAAGCTTATCTTAAGTAAGCAGCTGCATGCAATTTCCCTTAACTGAAATCTCTGCTTCTGTAAACACGCTTTTATTGCACCTTATATGGAAATGTCCATAAAGATGTTTGCTTCAATGCTTGTTGTGGAAGTAACCGTTACTGGTCCTAAATTTAAAACTGTAAACCCACCAATGGCAAACCCATGTATTGTTGTAACCACAAAGAGCTCTATAAAAGCAGCTTGAAACTGAGGGTCGGGCTCAGTTTTCAGGAGGCTACGCCGGAATAAATGCTTTCAATTCTCCTCTAGGTCTCTGGTGCCTGTTCTGAGTTCGTTCATTCCTATTCCCGGTAAGTTGCTGCAATAATTTTTTTTTTTTGCTTTAGTTCCTATTTGGCCTTATAGTAACATTGTTACCCCCGCTGTCTTCTGGTTCATATTTGTCCAGTGTGTAGTCATGGTATACTGTGGCTTCTTTTAAGTGCCTACTCTCACCTTTTGTGGTAAGAATCTTGATCTTTATCTGGCATGTTACTCTCAGCATAGACTGTATCTTCCAGCCTATCTTGAAGTTGGCCTTGGCCAATGAAACGAATGAGTGTTCTTTCCAGAAAGTGTGCTTAACACCTGAAAAGCCATACTAAACGATATAACAAATGTATGTAAGAGACAACCCCCGGCCAGACAGACACCGACGCCTTCCTTCCACGCCCCCATCCCACCCCACCCCTCTCCTCCCCCACTGTTCCTGTGGGTCCGGGCTTTCCGACCCCCGCAGCGCACCGAAGCCTCCCTCGGGTGCAGGGAGTAAGTGCGAGGAACAAACGTTCGTCGCCTCCGCTCCCACGTGGAAACTAACTGCTGAGGACTCCAAAGCCCCTCGGTTTCACAGCCCGCCCAGATTCTCCAGCCACGCAAGCCCCTCGCCGGACGGCTCTCGCGATGGCATCGAGATTAAAAAGCGCCACCGAGCTGAGTGGTCCTCCGAGCCTTCCAGAGCGGCTAGGCGGCCCATTTCCGGGGGTGGGCCGGAACTGGGAGGTCTGTGTTCGCCTGGCACCCTGAGCCCCTCCCCGCGCTGTCCCAGGCGACGGCCGTGGGTGAGTCGGCCCCGGCCGTGGGGCGGGGCCTGGGGAGGGGAGCGGTCCTCCGAGCCAATCCCCGCTGAGACTGGCCCGCGCAAACACAACGCGGTGCGCAGCCGGGAGCCGACCCGCTGCTGATTCTGCCGCCTCCGCTTCTCCTTGGGTTCTGGACCATGGGTGGCATGTCGTCCGGCACCCTGAACCCCGCATCCCCGAGTTGGGGTGGTTGCGCAGAGCTGAGGCTGCAGATCAAGGAAGTCTGGTGAAGTGGGGGCTTCTCCTGGGAAGACCAGGCTCTGTCCAGGTTTGCAACCCCCCAGCCTCACGCCTGCCTGCGTCTGAGCGAACCCAGCCCGGGAGCAGCAAGCGCTGGCTGGAGGCTCACCACCTCCCCTGCGCGGCATCTCCCTTGCACCCTCGTTTCCTGGCTGAACTCCTGTTCTGCCCAGGAATTTGAGGCTGGCTGAACTCCTGTTCTGCCCAAGAATTTGAGTCCTTTTCTTTTTCACTCCCCAGGCTAAGGCATTTATTGAACAGCAGTCATTTATTAAATACTGAGCACTGTGTCCAGAGGACTCCTCTAGTGCTGAAGACATCGCAGTAAACAGGCAACGTCCTTCGCTTCATGGAGCATGTATTGTAATAGAAGTGAGGCATTAATGTAATAGAGGCAATAAACAAGTAAGCAAACAATTTTTTTTAGATTAGAAAATATAGTTTATTTGAAAGTAAAAGAGAGAAAGAGAGAGAAGATTCACCTCCCCAGGGTAGGGAAGAGGTCCAAAGCCAGGAAACATGGCCACACCATATCTTAACAAAGCAATGGCCGCAAACAATTTTTGATCATGACAAGGGTTATACAGAAAATAAACCTAGGAGGTCTGGCGCGGTGGCTCATACCTGTAATCCCAGCATTTTGGGAGGCCAAGGCAGGAGGATTGCTTGAGTCCAGGAATTCGAGACCTGCTTAAGTAACATAAGGAGACCTTGTCGCTACAAAAATCAGAAAATGAGCTGAGCCTAGTGGTTCACGCCTTTAGTCCCAACTACTCAGGAAGCTGAGGAGAGTGGATCCCTTCAGTCCAGTAGTTTGAGGCGGTGGTGAACTATGTTCATGCCATTACACTCCAGCCTGGGTGAGAGAGACCCTGACTCAAAAAATAATAAATTAAAGTAAAAATAAACCAAGGAGATAAAATTGTGAGAGATGAGGGGGTTAGAGTAGCTTTGGTGGTCAGAGCAGGCCTCTCTAAAGAGTTAATATTTAACTGAAACCTAATGGCTGAGGAGAAACTCTGAAGCGAAGGGAACAGAGATCTAGAGTAGGCTGGCATGGGTGCAGTGTTGGTGAGCAAGGAGCAAGGTGCCCAGGAACAGAGTTAATTCTAAGGGTAGAGGGAAGTGATCCCCCTTCCTGGTCTTCCAGATCCCAATTAAATGTTACTTCCCCCAAGAAGCCCTTCTTGATCCCTCCATCTAAATTAGCACTGCTCTCCTCTTGATATTTTCTCTTAGCATTATGAGCAAGAATTTGATCAATTTTGTCATCACATCCCTGCTCTATTCTTTGTAGCCCAGCTTAACCCAGTGCTGTTTAATCTGCTTAAAGACGTATTTCCTAGTTCCAAAGGTAGAACTAAAAGCAGATTTTTTTCCCTCTAACTGGGTGGCCTGGCCTTAGGACAAGCACTCCCCAAAAATGAGCCAACAAAAGCCAGCTGTGGTAACTTACTCTCCTCCTAGCCCTGGGTTGCAGTTCTTACCACAGGGGAGGGTGGTATGTGTTGAGGACTGAGGAGATCGGGTCTTCCAGCAGCCTTGTCCCCTGAGATACTCTGGTTGCCTTGTTGGAGTGAGAAGGACCACAGATACAGCGGTAGCAATGGCCCAGTTGGGTCTTCCCACAGACTGTCCTTGTACAGACAACCAAATGGGGGTAGTATGACTCTGCTCTTTCATATGTTTGCAATCTGTGCTGTCTAGGCACGAGTGACTTACAAGCCTCTCTGAAATTCCTCCATAACCCTTTGTACATATCAAAAGACTACTGTCAAATGTCACCTCACAGCATTGTAACCAAGCAGTCATCCTTGCAAACACATGTCTTTCATTAATTGGTACATTTAGATGAACATCTCTCTCTCTCTCTCTCTCTCTCTCTCTCTCTCTCTCTTTTTGAGTTGAGGTCGCACTCTGGCTAAGAGTGCAGTGGCACAATCACAGCTCACCACAGCCTCAAACTCTTGGGCTCCAAAGATCCTCCTGCCTCAATCAAGTAGCTAGAACTACAGGCACACACCACCACACCCAGCTAATTTAAAAAAAATTTTTGTAGAGATGAAGCCTCTCTATGTTGTCCAGGCTAGTTTTGAACCCCTAGCCTGAAGCAATCCTCTCACCTCAGCCTCTCAAAGTGCTGAGATTACAGTGGTGAGCCACCACATCTGGGCTGGGAATATCTCTTTATAAAGTGGCAGCCACAGGAAAAGATAGCCCCAGAGATCTCCTCTCAAATGCAAGAGCTCAATGTCTATTGAAGAGAAGAGTGAGGAGACCAGGACCTCATATCTACTCTGTGTACATCCAGTCAGAGCAGAATTGCATTTATTGTTCTTTAAAAACTTTTCCCAGGCTGGGTGTGGTGGCTCACACCTGTAATGTTCTTCCCAGGCCCTGAAGGCACTGACCAGAGGCCTTGTCTCATGGGGGAAGGTAGATAAGAAGCAAGTAAGTTAACTAGTCTTATGTCAGATGACAGAGTACTATGGAGAAAAATAAGCAAGGATTGTGAATAAGGAATTTCTGGGTAGTAGGGGAGGAGGCAGTTTTAAATAGGATAGTCACAGAAGGCCTCCCTGGAAAGGTGACATTCAGAAAACATTGGAAGGAGTGAGTATTGTGGATGAGCAAGCCTCAGGTGCAGTTTCTCTTTGGGATATGAGGGAGGTGACTGGTGTGTGTGCTCTAGCATCTCATCCTCTCCTGCTCTCTTCTGGATCTGGGTGGTGGGGAGGCCTCAGGCCTGGGCTCCTTTCACTCATAGCTGTGTGTTCCCTCAGTGCTCACTGTCTCTAGCACCTGCTCTACCCCCAACGGTACCCTGGAATGGCATTCCTGATGCCTGGACCCCAGGTGAGTGCTTCCTCAGAGCATGTCTGCTGCCCCAGGAAACTGCCTTGTTCCCAGTCTCAGCTTTTTATCCCTGAGCACCTTCCCAGGGGAGCCTCACACCCACCCATGACACAGGAAACTGCAAGCTGAGGATGGTGGCCTCCCTCTGTGACCAGGCCTCATATGTGCCTCTGCCAATTCCTTCCTGAGGCATTGAGCAGAAGTTGGCTACCTGAGGCCTCCTGCGGCCCTTGAGCTTCCAGGGTCAGCCAGCAAGGGCAGGATCCCTGTCATTCCGCAGTGCTTGCCTCCTTCCTGGTGTGAATGGTCAGCCCCTTCTCCCCATGACACTGACTCACTGCTGGTGTTGGAAACTGAGACCCGAAGGGCAGGGATGCTCACCACCAGTTTGGAGGCTCAGCTACCAGTATCTCTGGGGTGCTCCTTCTCCAAATTCCTGATCGCCTGTGGAGAGGGGTTCACCTGTGGAGAGTCCAAGATTGATACCCCTTCCTGGCAGTTTAATCTTTCCTTCCCTTAATTTCACTTCTCACCTCTTCCCCTCTGGCATTTCAGCTGAGGATGAGGCCACAGCTTTGGTGTGGTTTGGGGTACCCCTTCTGTGCTGTGCCCTGTGGATGCAGTAGTGACCAGCAAGGACAGAGGCCTCAACCCCTAGAACCAAAATCACCTAAATATTCCTAATGTGACCTCCTTATCTCCTAAGTCCTCACTGAGGCCTTGATTGCATGGACAGCAGGGTATATGGTTGCAGGAGGCTGTTGCATTTGAGGATGTGGCTGTGTACTTCACGAGGATAGAGTGGAGTTGCCTGGCCCCTGACCAGCGGGCGCTCTACAGGGACGTGATGCTGGAGAACTATGGGAACCTGACCTCATTGGGTGAGGACTCCTGCATTCAGTCCTGAGGCTGGGAGGTACTTCTGCATTAGGCTCAGAGATGACCCTGCCTCATCCACTGGGCCCTGGGGAATTTGTTCCTTTCCAAATGTAAAATTTGATGTGTTTGGAGGGGAAGTTGGAGGCTCCCCAAGGAGACCCTCCCTGCTTCCTGTTGGGCACTTGCTGCCCAGTGGTGGCCTGCCCCGGGCTTTTCTCTTGGGAAGGTTCCCCCATCTCCCTTCAGCCACCTAGCTGCCCCTTCCTGGGATTGTGAGTGTTCCTGACCCACTCCAAGTGCTGTGTGTCCCCTGAGTCCTCCAGTCAGGTATCTGGGCATTCTTCATCCCTCCTGTGCCCTGACATATGCTGCTTTCCCTTCCTGGACTTAGGCTTTCTTGTCACAAAGCCAGCATTGATATCTCTCTTGGAGCAAGGAGAGGAACCAGGGGCTTTGATTCGGCAGATGACTGAAAAGACAGGGACCAAGGCCAGCCTATGCACAGGTGAGTACAATGTACAGGGAAACCCAGGCTGTTGTCACACTGCAGGGTATGTTTTGCAGCCACCAGCCTGGCCTAGGCTCCATGCAGCTCCATGCAGGCCCCTTCTCGTGGCTTCTCACAACAGGGCAAAATTTCCCACTAATTGCCTTGCAGGTAGGTCTAAGGTCACCCATTTTTTTTTTCCAGCAAGTCAGAGTTTAATAGAAGATAGGAAAGCTCTCGGCAGTGAGAGGGGACCCAAAAGTGGGTTGCCCCACCCAATTCTAATTTTTTTTTTTTTGAGTTGGAATATCACTGTGTCGCCCAGACTAGAGTGCAGTGACACTCTCCCGGCCATCGCATCCTCAACCTGTTGGGCCCTGGTGATCCTTCCGCCTCAGCCTTCCAAGTAGCCAGAACTACAGGTGTGCACTACCACGCCCGGCTAATTTTTAATTTATTGTAGAGACAAGGTCTTGCCAAGTTGCCTGGGTGGGTCTCGAACCCGTGGGCTCAGGCAATCCATTCCGTCTCTCAAAGTGCTGGGATTACAGGCTGAGCCACCAAGCCTGGTCCAGTTCTATCTTATACAGGAGGACCCATGTGCATGAGCTTGCTGTCATGGTGTTGCCAAGTTATTAGGGGCCAGTGTGAGTGCAGTGGGCACTGCCCTTGGGTTGCTTTGATTTTCCGAGTTCTCCATGGCCCTTGTGCCAGGGACTGAGCTCAGGGCAGTAGAGGCTGCAGAATGGACCTTGAGATGGAGAGGGGACCCCCAGTCCCAGAGTTCTGCCCAGACAGGGCCCCAATATGTTTGCTGAGTAAATGAACTATGCGTGAGCATTCTGAAAGAGAGGTGAAAAGAATGTGGCTGTGGAGCCAGGCTTGGTGGCTCACCCTGTAATCCCACGCCTTTGGGAGGCTGAGATGAGTGGATTGCCTGAGCCCGTGGGTTCG